TGTCACGTACATCCATAATGCCGTGCTAATTTTTTTTTTTTGAAAAAAGGCTATCATGCAAAACAGGCTGGGCCAACTGGCAGCTACAAATGGCCTCCAAAACAGGCTGCAGTGAGTCATTACTAGATGCGGGCTGGCCTAGCCCATTTTACACAAAACAATCCCTTAAACCATCTCATCCTGCCCCATTATACAACCTTAGTTGATAGTTGCAAATGAAAAATATTTGGGAAAATCACAACTAAGGACTTTTTGAGAAACATTTTTACAGTTGAGAATCAAGGAATTTTAATTTAACATTATAGTCCCTAAGGTCCTATTTGTAATTAATTTTATTGTGAAACTATGTAATTGCCCTTAGTGTTTGAGCTGGCACCCACACCCATCTTTTTAAACCTTAGCCCACCCTTCACTTCTTCAATCCCCTATACCTAGTTCGATTACCACACCAAGGAATATCAAAGACCTTCTTTATCGTTGTCCTCATCTTCAACAATAGTAGACACTAGTAAAGCTCCGTCAGCCACTATCAATCATCCAAGTTCCCCTTATTAATTCCATACCACCTTGCTATTATTGTCTTTTGTTTTCCTCTCTTTTCCTATTAAAATTCTATAATTATTATCAATTACGGGATTTATTATCTTTAAAAGAAACTAATCTTTTTAAGGATCGTGATCATCCATCATTCTCTACCTTCAAAATCCAAAAGGAAAGCATGTTCAAAAAGACTATGCTCAATCATTAAAATATTTAAGTTGTTGATGAATATTTCTCATTTATTGAACAAGGGTCTCTTAATTTTAGGCTTCTCCAAGAAAAAGGTTAATATGCTTTCTATATAGTTCATAACATTTTGATAGATTTCCTGCATAAGGCTGCAAGCACCCATTATTCCTCAAAGGGGTGAAGTTTGCTAGGATATTTTTATTTGTTAAGCAACAATACCTTACTAGCAAACACCTATTGCTATTATAGATTGAAGATGCATGACTCGTTCTAAATTTCTCAATTTCCATTGAAAGTGGACGTTGAAACTTTGTTGTTGAAGATTGAAACTTTACTCTCTGTTTTTTCCCTCTTTATGTACATTTTATTGTACATTTTATTGTCAAATGATAATTGATATAATTAGTCTTTTTTTTAACGTTGCTATGTGATTGATTTGAGATAGTTTATTTTGTTGGCTAACTTAGTTTGGCAAATAGAAAGGAAAGTTTATAACTATTGAATTGTCTATTATTAAAATAGCAATGATACACTGTTGATATTATAACTACAATTTTGATTTAGAAAATAGTATAAAATTTAGTTAAAATTTGAAATTATTGAACTTTCTATTGTTAGAATAGTAATTATATATTGTTGGTATTAGAATTGTAATTATAAATTCAAAATTAAGAGTAAAAATTATTTTAAATGGTTGTAGGTTGATATGACAAATGGCAAATAATAGATAACAAATTTTTCCACATCAATCTTCCTTCAATTGTCATTGACTAGCCAACCTCCAGGGAGGCCACGAAGTAGGAGGATAGAATCACAATTCTAAAACTAAAAAGTTTATCATTGTTCTAGATATGGTGAGGCTCCTCGCACTTATAAGACTTGCAAGAATCCAAATTCAGGCTGCAAAAGTAGGGAAACAAACAACAATATAATGTAAACAGATATAAAATTTGATAAGAGTATTTATTGTTGCAATGACAAATATTAGCATGAAATTTGGTGAAATTAACGTTGTGCATGTATTAGTTGCAATAATACAATGGCAATATCTATTCATTCAGGAATAGTTTCTTTTTAAAATGGGAAAGGGAGTTTTTTTTCTCCTAAAAGATGATTTGTTCTTCAAAGATTTCAATACTTGGTTCTATTAATGAAAATGGTTATTCTCTAAACTTATTAATTAAGAAATTGATTATTGTTAAAAGGGAATAGTGACTTGTTATTTATTAAGTGGTGACTTGTTCATCAGACCAAAACAGTTGTTGCTCTCCTTCAAATGATTAATGTTCTAGACTTTTTAATTAAGAAGTTAATTGTTGTTAAAAGGAATGATGACTTGTAATTTCCTAAATAATGACGTGTTCGCTAGACCAAGACATTGTTTGCTCTCCATCAAATGGTCATTTGTTTACTAGACAATGATGGTCATTCTCTCCTATGAATAATTTAATTTTTTTTCACTAGTTAATTAAGGAATTTGTTCTTATTAAAATTGAATGGAGTCTAGTTTTCTCAAATGATCACCTTTTCACCAAACAATGATAGTTGATGGTCCCCATGAATATTTTAATTTTGTGCACTAGTCAATTAGAGAATTTATTCTTGTTTTTTTCACAAATGGTCACTTGTTCACCATATCAGAACACTTATTGATCTCTATAATTTTTTAAACTTGTTAATTAGAGAATTATTTGTTATTAAAATAGAATGGAGTTTTATTTTTCATGAATGATCACTTGTTTACTATACAAAATAGCCATTGCTCTCCATGAACATTTTAATTTTTTGCATTTGTTAAGTAGAGACTTTGTTGTTGTTAAAATTGAATAGAGTCTTGTTTTTCTCAAATGGTCACTTGTTCATCAAACGATAATAATTGTTGCTCTCCACGAACATTTTAATTTTCTATACTAATTAATTAAAAAATTTATTCTTATCAACATCAAATGGAGCATTATTTTTTTCACAAATGGTTACTCGTTCACCATACGTCCATACCATAACACTTTTTAATCTCCATAATTTTCTACACTTGTTAATTAGGGTATTATTTGTTGTTAAAATAGAATGGAGTTTTACTTTTCATGAATAATCACTTGCTTACCAAACAAAAATAGTTATTGCTCTCTACGAACATTTTAATTTTCTGCACTTATTAATTTATTGTTAAATTTGAATGGAGTCCTGTTTTTCTCGAATGGTTATTCACTAGACAATGACAATTGTTCCTCTTTATGAAAATTTAAATTTTTTGCACTAGTTAATTAGATAATTTATTCTTGTTAAAATTGAATAGTCTTTTTTTAAACAAATGGTCACTTGTTCACTATATCAAAACACTCTTTAATCTTCATATTTTCTTGACTTGTTAATTAAGAAATTATTTGTTGTTAAAATGTAATGGAGTTTCATTTTTCACGAATGATCACTTGTTCACCAGACAAAAATAATTGTTGCTCTTCATGAACATTTTAATTTTTGCACTTGTTAATTAGGGACTTTATTCTTGTTAAAATAAAATGAAGTCTTATTTTTTTTTTCAAATGATTATTTGTTTACCAGACAATGACAGTTATTGCTCTCTATAAATATTTTAATTTTTTGCACTTGTTATAATAAAATGTAGTCTTGTTTTTCTTAAATGGTCACTTGTTTTTCAGACAATGACAGTTGTTACTCTCCATGAATATTTTTAATTTTTTACACTAATTACTTAGGGAATTTATTCTTGCTAAAATCAAATGGAGTCTTGCTAAAATGAATATTTGGTCACTTGTTCACCAGATCAAAACATTTATTGCTCTCCATGATCATTTTTATTTTTTTGCACTGGTTAATTAGATAATTTAATCTTGTTAAAATTAAATGGAGGTTGCATCCTTGTGAATTGCTTATTGCTAAAATCTAGAAGGCTCAAAATACATAATCTTGTATTATATTATTTTCTAAAAGAGTCCCAAAATAAGTAGAATAGGAAGTTCAAGCATAACAATTGATGTGAATTTAACAAAAAGGGAAAGTGAATATATTGTTTAATGCAACACTTGCAATAGGGATCTTTTTTCATAGTTAATTAAATATCAATGGTAAAGATTAAAGGTGGAGAGAGTATGTAGGAAATCTCTTGTTATTATAATTTGTGACATTGAGACAAGAAAATATCTCAGCAATGACATTGAAAATAAAATGTAGAGTTAAAAGCCATACAAACCACTTGGATTAACCTGGAACATATAAATGAAATCTAGAAGATGGGATCAAGAAAAGGGGGGGACAGAAGAAAAGCAAGGCAAGGCGATTTGATTCATATACTCTCGAATAACCAAATGACAAGTATGGAATTAAAGAAATGAAGGGCGGGGTGAGGTTTAAGATGATGTGTGTGGGGTGTCCATAGTGGAAATGCTTATCTAGAGAGGGCTAGTACTGTTTTTTTTTTAAAAAAAAACATTAAAGGCAAATATGTATTTTCACAATTAGAATTAATTTCACTTAGGACCCCAAGAATTGCAGTGTTAAATCATAATTTATTAGTCCTCAACTATGAATATGTTGCTTCAGGGTTCCTTAATTGTGATTTTCCCAAAATATTTCTTGATATATGCTAACTATTAAGAAATTATATTTATCTATTTAAATTGATAAAAATATATAGTACTATCTAATTTATTCTTTTCATAATTAATAACCATAATAATATTTTTTAGGAATTCAAATAATAATAAATAACTAAAGGGATGAAATTTTAACAAAAAAAATTAACAACTCTAAATTACATTAAGAATTAAAAAAATTCTAAAATTGTCTTCTATTAAAAATAAAAGGGAGTACATTATATCAATGGATGCAATAACTTCAAACGAACATGACAAAACGGTGAGAGTAGCTTTTAACTCGTAAGGTTTTTATTTATTTTACCAAAACAAAAGTTTTTCAACTCCAAAATCACGGGGGAAAAAAGACTGAGTCGGTCCACTAAAACTAGCCCATGTCTCATTCTTGGATTGGACCTTTGCCAGTAAAGCAATAAAAAAAAAATAGCAATTAAATCTCAAAATATTAAATTAATGATAATAAAATATTTAATTTTAAAAAATTGCAAATACCAATTCAAACCATATTTTTAATGAAACTTAAATGTTTTATTTTCAATTAACACTTTTAAATTTATACTTGTTTAATCGATATTTAAAATTTATTTTTTTAAAAAAATTTGCCTGAGAATCTATTATTAATTTAAAGTTTTGAAACTTAACCGTGATTCTCCCAAATAGTAATTAAAAAGAATACGTCTTTTTATTTCATTAGAAATAAACATATCAAATATTCAGCTACCTAAATTTTCCATTCAATTTTTCTAAAAATTAATCTGAAATAACTCAAATAAATATACAAGTAAGAACTCTCTTTGAAGCAAACTATGGGAACCGTCTTCAACAGTTTTTCCCCGGCGAGGACAAATTGCATATTTTGATACCCTCCCACGGGGGCAGTGACATGTTTCACTCGGGGGTGAATCAATTCAGCCTACCTGAAACACATGGAAAAACTCTTGAATCTACAGGGCTCGCCATTTTTCAAGCTCAATACATCCTATCTGCCGGCTCCTCAGCTCTCATGCCGGTAGTTCATAGTGTAATTTGACTAAATTGGGTTTGCTATGCCCAAGGGAGAGAACCAGGGTAAGGAGCTGGTCCACAGTATCTGAATAAAGCTTGAATTTCTGGGCAACCATTCGGGTAAGGAATGGAGCGATGAAACGGGTCACGCCGTAGTTTCTTGTGATAAAGAGAACTTTGACACCCAAACGGATCTTTCTGGAATTGGGCTCGCACCAGTGCCTCCCCTTTTAAAGCAGCTTTTTTTGCATTTGATGCAGCAGAAGTGCCTGTATAGAAGAACCTTGACTCTGGAAACCCAATTGCAGATCGATGCAGATTCGCAAATCTCTCTTGCTTGAAATCATAGCTTACAACCTGATTCCCACATTCAACAAAATCAGAACCTATCTCAAAACCCCCTAAGCAATAATGATTTTTATTGGCGTAATCACTAAACTTCAACTCTCTCAGATCCTCTTAGGATATAACCATAAGAATCCGAAATATAGTTCATATTGAAGTATGACACTCGTCAGAAAAAGGCAATTTTATCAGCAATTCTCGTATATGCTGTTCTATGCCTCTCCAAATATCCACATGCTGTAGTTAACAGATGGAAGATTCACCCACAAGAAAAAAATATCTTTCATGTATTCCAAATTTAAACGAAAAATTGACAGATGCTTGGATAAGATACATACGGTTATATTCTCAGGATATGCGCCGGTGAGCTCCCGGAATCGGCAGATACTAAATAGGAGGTTTTCAAAACTGTCACGGGCATGCTCTTCAGTAAGTGCTCTCCATTTCACACTTTCTTCTTTACCTACACAAACAATCAACAGGCAGAATTGTGGTGTGATCATGTCATTGGAGCATCAAAAGGTGTGGGAATTGCCAAGGATTACAAATTTACAAGTTTCAAGCACTAATTTATATGAACTTAAGATATAAAATAGCTTCGCTGAGCATTCAGTGATTTGGAGCACAGACAGGAAAACGCAATATTTTCTTCCTTTTATCATTCCCCTGTTTGTGGTTCCTAGACTCAACTTCACAAGTCACCAGATTGGCTTTCAATGATCGAGTAAAAATCTGCCAATGGGAGACCGTGACGTTTTGATAAGAAGGAACTCACCAAACCATCCTTTGGAATCAGCGACAGCCCAATAACTCTGTGCCTCACTGCGAGGACCAGCATCTTTACGGGTCTCTCCTCCACTAAACAAGAGCAGAGCCAAGTCATCTTTGGCTGCAATATCAATTCCCTCTCGTATGTGAGTCATAAAAGTAGCAGCTTGACCAGCAATTTTCTGATAAGGTTCCAGATACCAAGATTCCTCCTTCTCGATCTTCCCACAACTACTGCTCGTATAAATAGAATGGCCCGCAACCATTATAAGATTTTGAAGCTTCGGGAATGGATAATCGTCCAAACCCAGATCGAGTTTACCATAGCTATTCACCGTTCTGTAGTGGCTTTCGTATACAGAAAGGACCAGAAGAATTGTGATCCCAAAACACAAGGAGATGAAGAAGCCCATAAATGGGTGCAACTTGAAATAGTAATGAAGGCGACTCCCAAATGATTTGATCATTCTGATGGGGTGAAGATGCGAGGTTTTAACTTTCGGGATCGTTTTATGGGTTTTCCGGATTCCAAGTCAAATTCGCTTTTTGGGTAGGGCTTTGGACTTCCGGATCCAAATGAGAAATTATTCATCGCAATTTATGATTTGAAAACGAAAAGAGTGATTGAACGCACCGGAAAGAAGTATGCAGTCAAACGTCGGAAGCTCCGCATCTCAATTTTAACTCTAAAGCTAATTAAAGAGCGCAAGATGGAACGAGTATTGAAAGATCTAATCTCGAAATATCAGAGGAAATTGAAGGACCACAACTTGGAAGCTCAAAGAACACCAAGATTCTGACTGCATCGACCAAGATCGAAGTCCAACTAGTGGGAGAGGGAGAGGGAGAGGGAGTACGCCCATATTTCCGCTGCAACTAAGAAACCTGAGATCCCAAATTCTGAGGACCTGCTCTGGTAAAAAAAAAAAAAAATCTGAGGATCTGCTTTTCAAGTAGAAGGACGTGGGATCCAAACTTTCAACTTTTAACACCTAGAAAAGAAATAGCCCAAAAAATACCCAGTAAAAGTATTACGCGCAACTAAAAACCCAACACCAACAGAGCGTGCGCGAAAACATTTATCCAACGCATCCAGGATTTGTTTATTGGTTAGTTTAACTGAAGTCCGTACTTTTTTTTTTGGTTAGTGGACTTTCGCTGATGCAATTTTTGGGCCTGGCAACATCGAGGGGGATTCTTTGTCTTCTGTTAAGATCGAAGAAAGCACTCACTTCTCATTCAATTTTTCATGTGATCGGGTTTAACTCGAGAGTTAGTCCCTCCTAGGCCCAAAAAAAAAAAAAAATTTGTTCCTTATAATGTGAGGAATTAATGTTCAAACTGTTTATCAAAAAGTGCTCACATTTTACTCCCTGATCATGTCTCAAACAGTGTTGCTTATCATAGAATACATGTAAGGGATTAGGGGAAAAAAAAAATCCTCATATCATGTGAAGTACCATATTCTACAATACGTGCGGTACTTGGCCAATACCTATTAAAATTAAATGTTTTTAGTAAATAAATCACTCGTCATTCATTTTTAAGTAAGACATTCTATTAAATAATAATAAACATAAAAATATGATATTAGTGTAAAAGTGTAATTCATTTAAAATCACTTATATTCTAAACAGATGGATATTTGTTATCATGTGATGAGTTTCATCTCCAGCTTATTAACAGCAAGTGCCATTAATTCAAAAAATAATAATGATAACAAAGCTGGGTAGTCATTGTAAAGGGCCCCTAAACAGATGGCGGAATCAAAAGGAGGCAAGGATGCTTGCCCATCATGGTTGTCACCCCTACTGTGTGTGTAAATATTAAATTATTCATAATCTTATTTTTTAAAAGTGCTGAAATTAATTCTGGCCTCGCAATTTAATTTATTTTAAATTTCATCTCCTTCATTCATTTGCATTGCTTTCTAAACCCGCCGCTACTCTAGTGCAATAGGATCGTTGATACACAAATTTTGTATGTAAGGCTCATCCATAGTTCATACAGGGATACTCATTTTAGAAGGTAGAGGCACGTAGGACCGGATGGTGGAAAAGGCTTTTTGAGACATGAAGCATGGGGTGCGGAACCAGAATTTTTATTTTGTGTTAGATATTTGCTCCAAGGTGAAATATCATATATACAAAGATGCCAATGCATTATACAGAGTTTTCTTTTCTTCCACTGAATAGACCAATAAGCAAAGTTTACATATGCATAACACATCTTATCCAAGTGATAAACCAGAGGAGATATTATACACATAACATGAATAAAGCAGTGGGTTGGATTCTTCAATCTTCACTTCAAGTGGACTTGAGCTTATCCAAGTTATAAACTTCCTGCAAGATAATTAAGCGTTGATCAGCTAGGTATACACACGTAGAGACCACGAACAAAGGAATCAATCAATTTTATGTCGCCATGCATGTACAATACAAATACAATATAGAAGCTTACTAAAATGCAGTGAACGTCGTGGAGAAAGGGCCCTAGTAAAGAAACCAATGCCTGCATTTCCTCCTTTAGGGTTTCATAGTTTTCATCTTTTGCCTTGAGCACATCTACAAAAGTTTGGCTATCTGGCACCAGTTTTAGAGCCACCTGCAATTTATATAGCACATTAGCACTTTATGTTATAGCTCAATAGGATTTTGAACTTTAAAAAGCAATAATAGCTAGCAAGGGAATATTGCTTTATATATCTGTCAGTGCTGAACGCTCTTATGGTGAAGTTTTAAATGAATGAAAGACATTCGTGAGATCAATAAGTAGATTAAACTTGAGATAAAAATCCCAAGCCAAAAAAAATGGACTACTGATGTTAGAAGGAAAGAACAAATGGTTTATGCATGTAATACTCTGAAAGCAGCAGATGAAATCCATCCATGCCATGGTTTCAAAGTGTTATTATAACACTCTTCCACTACATCCTCCATATTCTTCCCACCATCTTCTGCTACGCTCTGCAACAACGCCAACGCAAAATCCAGAGATCTACACCGCCAAAAATGTGCATAGCATGAACATGCGGTAGTATCATTGTCATATTTCACGACAATAATAATACTAAATATTGGATGGAAATTAAATTACTAAGGTCAGTTAAAAAGCACACAAAAAAAGTGTTAAAAGGTTGACCTAGTGAGCCAAACAAAGGCTTTACTGCAGCTGGGTCCCTTCTTCGCGTTGCCTATGCTTGCCTCTGTTTTCAATATCTCAACCAAGTTTGAGTTCATGGAGGGATTTGATTTATGCACCACTTCCAGTCTCTGCGATCAAATATTGAAAGATAAGCGTGTCTATGATGCGCTAACTGAAAAAATGACAGTTAATCAACAGCCTCATGTCAAAGAAGCAGGAAACACAAAAGGAATTAAGAGAAGAGTGTGTTTGATCCCTCTGATGAAGAGGATCGCGTTAATTAGTATCTGTTAAGACCTCGATGTTTTGAGAAATGTCTTGTCTGAGAACAGCCATGGTCGGCCCTATCTTATCTGCAAGATCAGCATCAGTCATGCAAGATATGTTAGGCGTGGCGTCACTTTCATGGTTGAAACTTGGGAACATATATATAGGGAGAGCTAGGTGGTAATCGGTGGTCAGTAACAATAACTCACCCAGAACTTGTAGAACTAGGTTACACACAGATAAAAAAGGCTCGGTGGAGACGAAGGCCGTGTCGTCATTATCTCCATGTTTTGCCACAGCAATCATCGACAGCTCCTCAATGGCACACCTTACCTCTGACTTCTGCTCCATCTTTCTTCACCCTTCCACTCCTCTCCATAATATATATATATATATAAAGACGCAGGGGACAAGAGGGAGGGTGGGAACTCCTTGAATTTTAAAAAGGGGCTCTTTCATGTAGTGAGAGTCTTGCAAGGCCATCTATTGAATTGTCTGCAAACATCCAATAACATGGCGCCCTCTCTCTCTCCCCCCTTTCTCCTATCTCTCTTTGTTTAATAATAATAACAGTGTGCTATCACGACCAAAAATTTGGAGAAAGGGAAATACAGTGGGCTATGAGTTTGCTGCGGAAACCATTGATGGTGACGTTACATTTGACCTTGGAGCTATCTTTTCTACATATATGTATGTATCCTTCTCTCTTCTTAAAATATGATCCGCATAAATTTATCCTTTGCAGGTCCCACTATTTTAAAAATTCAATGCGCAACAGAATCTGGCCCTTCATCTCAATCTTTCCCTAACCACTTTGCCTTAACTCGTCACAGCCAGGGTGTGCACGCCGGGATATATTGAACCAGTTACACTTGAAATTATATGTAGAAATTATACAATAATTTTTAAGAAGTTTGTATAAAACGCTGTGAAATCATGATTTATCGTTACAAAAGTTAAAAAATAATAGATAAAGTTTTTTTATGATGTTTTGTAGAGCAAGACTAAGACATCCTACATGGTGTTTAGGTTGAGCTAGCTAAATATATCAAGCTGACAAGTGGTGGCAGAATAAGGACTTGAAGTTAGGGAGTGTAGAATAATTTAATAAAAATTAATACTTTAAAAAAATAATGATAATGTTAGGATTAAAATTGTAATAACATAAATAAATTGATTATCATTTTTCATTTTAAAAAATTATATCAAATAGGTTAATATGATTTTATTATAAATATACTTTTTATATCTTATTAAGATCTTAAAATATTATATATCTAATACATTTTTTTAGATAAAATGTCTTCTTATTTATTTTAAAAAATGCAAAATATAAAAAATAATATATGTAAAGTTATAAAATTTACATACTTTACTTATAATTTTTCCTTAGGTGAGCATTGCTGACAAGCAGGCCAATCATCAACACTTATAAGATGTAAGAGGAACAAGAAGTTGGAGTGAGTTTGGTCCAGAAAGGCTCAAGAGAGAATGCATGTGAGAAATGCAATGAAGAGCGATCAGTGATCACATGATGAATAGGGAAAAAAGAGTGATTGAACAGAAGCAGTGTGGGAAACGATGGGACATGGATAAGGTTGAAAAAGAGAGAGGCATTGGAAGACAGGAACATTGAGATTATCGAGTGCGAGGTCTTTGGAGAGGGAGGTAGTGTGTTGCTGGAGGGATCATGTGTATGACTCCTACTGGACGGCAAGCCTCAGGACAAACGGCAACTGTATGCCTTCAATTTTCTATTCTTGTTTTTTACCGTACGCAGGAATCCCTCCATTAAAATAAACTCGTGGCTCCCCAATTTTATATCACTTGGAGTCACCTACTTGGTGAACACCTGTGAACTTCAATATGTACCATTTCAAATATTTTCCACTTACAATTTGTTTATCCTCATCCCTTCACCCCCAATATTTAATTAATTCATATCACCTTCCTCTTTCTAGCAGAAACTAGGGGAAGCCCTTAGCCCCAGCCCGACGTCTGTCTCTCATCTTTTTAAATATAAGGATCCCTTCTCAATTTATTATAATACAAACAATATTCCAAGGCAAATAGTTTTGAAAATTGGGCTAGATTGAGGCCAGATCTGTTGCGTCCAGAAACTTATAGAGGCAAACATTAACAGTGGTACTTCATGTGTATGGCAAAAGCATGCTTAATTCCAGTCAAGAAGTAAGTCCCCCCACACACATACACAAAGGTGTCACATACATCAATGTTATAGGTGTGTGTGGGCCGGGTGTGAACGTCCAAGATTCTTTGAGACTTTTTTTTTTAATTTATTTGGCACCTGCTCCTATTCATATGAAGATGCATGCACGGCTCGATTAAATTATCAATATATTCCCCTACATAAGTTTCTCTTATATTTAGGAGAGAACTCGGGTAACTATAATAACATTGTATATCTAATATATTTTCAGCTAATTAAATCAGAATAGTAAATTTTAAAGTATTATAATAAGAGTTTATTATAAAATAAATAATGTGCAAAAGATTTACAACTATCGCCTGACCTGCAAGATTCAAGGCAATCTCCATACACGCACTCACTTAACTATGAGATCGAGGTAGGTTTTGGATGTATAACTTTGTTTCTTTTATATGATTTTTAAAATGTATTCACTTTAATTTGTGAATAAAGTTTTTAAAATGTATTCACTTTCATTTGTGAATAGAGTTGAGGGGAAAAAAACTTTTTAATATTGCTACATTATATTTATTTCCTATCTTGTATAAGACTATAAGTTGTCTCTGTCTAACCTAAGAAAAGGGAGAGGAATGGAAAAGAGGGGGGTGGGTATTCCCACCGACCAAACTTAAAATCATCCACTCCCAGACCCACTGCTCCGTACCAAATGATGCCTTAACGCATAAAAAAGTAGCTTCAGGCCCCAAAAGTCGGAGACAAGCTAGCTCGGCATTTGGACCATTATGTGTCATGTCATGTGTGCCTTTTGAACTTGATCTGGGATGCGCAGTTCCCGGATCGAATTCCCAAAACGCTGTTACTACAAAAGGAAATTTTAATACTTTAGCTATGGTGGCAGAATGTGATTTAGATTACCCAATCGGATTTAATTAGCGTCTTCTTCTCCACCGTCCTTTATTTTTGTCATCTATATTTCTTTCCCAGTATATGTTGTCACTCTTAGTTAATGTGGTCATTCTCTTTTTTCAGATTAAATTTGGTTATGTCTTGATTACAATCGCGTAAAGCCATAGTTTTAGCCCCTTAAATTTCTATCTGCACGACTATTTTCGCCCTTTGATTTTATAAAAACTTATTTTATTTTTGAATTAAAGTGTAAAAATATCAACCAAGTAATCAATGAAAATATCTAATAGTCTAAAGTAATAAAAAATACAAACATATCACAAAATTATGAGAGTTGGCATAAAAAAGACTAAACCATTAATTTGACCCCAGTGCCGTTATTTGTTAGTGTCAAAAGCTAATTGTGCTTTTTAATGTAGACAAAAAGAGGGGTAAAAATGTTCATAAAATTTTCAGTTAAAAGCATCTAGTAGCCTAAAGTGAGAAAAAAGAAAAAATACTTATAATATTAAAATTGGTGCAAAAATAATTAATCCATCAAATCCCTAAAATGTTAATCGTTTAACTAATACATAAGCAAAAATTGATCAATTTTTCACTGACGAGGATAAAAAAATATTCTTAGATAAAATTTTATAAAAGTTGACTTGTCATCGTATGAATATCATGTGAAAAAATATCATTTTGACTAAATATCAAGTTAAATTGATCGCTTCTTTATAACAGTGACAAAAATCATTTAAAAATTTTGAACCTATCATGAATGAAATTACTTAAAGTTGTTAAAATGTTCTTAAGGTAAGTGGCATAGTAAACATGTTTACTGTCCATCTTAGATTGTATGCCACTTGTCTCACTATGCTAAATCTTAAGTTTTACAAATAAAAAAAATGAGTTTAGAGAGAGGAGGAAGGGGTTGGATACTTCAGTAAAAAAAATAAAATTTGGTAAGATACGTCATTGATCAACCTTTGTAGAAATTAAAATAAAAATATTTTTTATCTATATCAACAAAAAAATGATTAACTTCTGCTTAGACATCAACTAAAGAATCAATAGTTAAGGAATTTGATCGATTTATCATGTTTGCACTAATTTCAATAATATTATAGGTATTTTTATTATTTTTCTCACGCTAAGCTACTGAACACTATTAATCGATAACTTCATTGGTATTTTTGCACATTTTTGTTCTACATCAATAAAGAATGACACATGACAAATACAATCAGCATTTAACACTGAAAACTGACAGTGTTAAAGCAAAGTTAACGATCTGATCACTTTTTACGCCAACTTTGATAATGTTATATGTATCTTTACTTCTTTTCTTACTTTAAATTACTAGAGATCATTTGGTAGGTATTTTCAAACCTTAACTTTTTTTTTTAAATTGTAGAAAAATTTTCTTCTTTTCTAACACTGTCAATTAACACGGTAGATGAGACTTGCGCGCAAATTTCAAGGTGATTAAAAATATAAGCTCACTGTTGTTATTCTTTGTTAATTTTATTTAATTTTAAAATATTTTAAAAATTAAATCTAATCAACATTAGGGAAAAACCCAACAATTAATTTCAGTATTTTAAAACATCTTAAAAGTAAGACAAAATCAATTAATAATAATGATAATACTGAGTTGTTTCTTTTAATTTGTGCTAAATAGCTTTAAAAATTACATATCAACGTGTTCGGTGTGGATTAATAATGAACGGTGTAAAGTATAAGATGAAATATTTGACTACATTCTAGAAATTAAAAGACTGCTCATCCATTGTCTACAATATATGTAATAGTAAAAATTAGCACTTAATTTTGGGAAGTCCAGCTTAGACAAGTTATATATCAAAATTAAAGTTGATTAGATTTTTTTTCAAAAAAAAAAAAACATGCAGGATTCAGCTCAGCAAGAAGGGAAAAAGGACATGCAAAATGGCTGCATTGGCTTGTCTGATGTCCTGGGTTGGGGCTCGGGGGCACCAAGTGGATGAATGTACGGTTATTTGCGGCAAGACCCGTTTCTTTTGGTTTTTTTTCCCCTCATTATTTGATCGGCTGAATTTTTCTCCGCTATGTTTTTCCTTTGTTGCTCCTTTATTTCAAATCTAAATCATGTATCTAAATCATACGAGGTTAATTTCCTAGGGTGAAAACGTAAGACCTGTCAATAGATATTCATCATCCAAGGCTCGGGGCGTCTGTTTGGTTTCAGCATTTGGAAACGTAAATGTGTCTCTGTAAATCCCATTTTCCCATAATGTTTGTCCGGATTTCATTGCTTTTCAAAAATTATTCATCTTAAAATTAATATTCATTTGAAGGAGTCCAAAAGTTTATTCTCCCAGGTCAACAAATACCTGCTTTTACATTCGAAAGTGAGAATGTAAAAATTGAGTGAAAACCCTTTGGCTAGATTTAATTTTAATCAAAAGCCCCTAAAATTTTAAATTTTCATTATACATGATGACCTTGTTGTCTCTGGGTCGACGCTTGAAGCTGCAAGGTCCAACAGTGTGGCGCGGTGGCCGGCCGATTGCAGACGTGGCTTGACCTTATACCCAACACTATCATCACTTTCAATTTCCATTTATCCCAACAAGCTACCATACAATTAACGCATGACCTCCACGACCCCCCCCCCCCCAATCGAGCTTCAATAATCTATGCCATCGTGAGCCGCCACCTTCTGTGAATACAAAGCCCACCAGACTCTCCAAACATCTCCAACTTTCCACCTCATTCTCTTTGATCTGGTCTCCTCAAATGGCCTCCAGCGTCTCTTCTTCTCTCTAACTCCAATTTCAATTGACCAGAAAATCACCTAACCGTCCTTATTTGTACCAACGCTGCTGCCTGTGGGGCTTCGACGTCAAAGACAAAAGCTCAGGTCGTTTGGAGCGAGTGAGCGGTCTAGATGTAGCAAAATGGAGTGAGTGAGAGAAAATGTAGGCCTCACGCCTAAAGCATCGGCAGTTAGTTTCAAATTAATTATGGGGTGTCAAGTTTAATTGTTTCAGCTTTCAAAATATATTAAATAATAAATATGAGCTCAAGGTTTAAATCACTCTTCCATTCCGCCTATAATTCAGGATTCATATTGTGATTGAACCCCATTTTAAAACTGGCTATATTAAAAAAAAAAAAAGAATGAAAAGAGTACAAGTCAACTAACACAGGTGTGAGGCTGGAGTTCGAAGTCCCATCAACTTTCCCCAGTTGTTATCAGCAAGTTCGAAAAGTATTTCCTCCATTTTTTTATTATAAAAGAACTGTTAAATGTCTTCTTACTTTTTATGATATTTTTTAAATTGTCTTTCATAAAGTTAATATTTTTTCACAAAATAAATTTATTTTATTAATTACATAGATAATCTACTTTATTTTTTTAATTTCAGGCATGATTATCATACTTCATCAGTATTTTTAAATTGTTAGTTTACCATTTTTCTCTTACATTTGAAAACGGATGAAATATTGATTGAAATTCAGAATTTATTTTAATGCCACAACTGTGTACAATTTTTTTTAAGAAAAAAATTTACTTGCTGAAATAATTTTTTTTTTTAAGAAAGAGTTTGCTTGTGGTGGTCAGCTGTATTCTCCGTTCTCAGAAATTTAACAAAGCAGACAAAAGGGGGCAAAGATTTGGAGAGACAAAACGATTCTTGTTGCTGGAGATGAACACAATCTGGGTTATAAGATCATGTGGGCCGTAAATGATGGATTAGGTCATTTTATGGATTTGGAAGGTGGGAACGAATGATTCCCCAATCATTACTTGACTTCTTAATTTCATGTCATGCACTGTGCCATCATTTTTTGACTAACTAGTTGCTTGTTTTGCTGGATGGGAGTTTGGATGGAATTGCTCCACCCCCCGACGCCGACCACGTTACACTCACTTATTTGGATCTTCATCAGTAATTTTCTTTAACTTTCTTGTACCAAATATCACCATCATGGTTATGGTTCTGCTCTAATTTTGGCGTGCTGTTATTATTACTTTACGATATTATAAATTGCCTAAATTCCTTAACTAAATGATATCATAATAGAAAATGTTATCTTTAAGGGTCAAACGACATTCTATACCATCAAAATAAGATATATGTATGTATATATATATATATATATATATTCTAAACTACCAAACTACCAAGTAGAGCATTGCTCTACAACTTTGAAAAGCGTTGCAGATCACTCTCGCAATTCTGATTTCTGCCATGGTCCCAATAGCATATGGAGGTTATGGTGTCGGTATTCTAAAATTTCCCTCCGTTGATGAACTTTTCTCTTCTAAATATGCTTTTTTTTTAAAAAAAATTGTTTATGGTTATTCTGAAATCCTTTGTCATGAGATTGAAATTGATTCGAAATTCTTGTTCAATATGTGAAAGTGGGTCAAGAGTCTGGTTGGCTATCCTAGAATTCTTACGATGCTATGCTCGATGGTCAAATATAAGAGCAATCTAGGCAGGCTGGATAGTTTTTCCCTCAAGGGCAATTCGGTCTTTTCATACTATTGTACAAATGCACAAAACTCAGTCCTATGTCCTAAGACACTATTGGTCCCAGTCTACTAATTTAACAAACATTTACCCTCTCGCAGTGACACGGGTCGGGATAAATTGCAACGTTTTTCTTTTAACATCTAAAAGCAAACTTTTAGTTAGTTTGACGTAAAAATGTCCTTTTAACACTGTATTTAATAATTGTGAGTACACCGGGACACGCGAACAGGATCCTAAAGTGGAGAATAGAGTAACCAGATATTGAAAGTAGGTTTGTTAACCAAAAAACAGAGAAAGGTATTTCCGAAAGTCAAGTATACAAGTAACTGAGTAAGCAGAATGGGCCTTCAAAGTTCAAGAGAGACGGAGACTTGAGATTCGGGTTTCTTTATGACTGCGAGGCAACGATCTATTCCTTGCCCCAAATTGAAATCTAATCACGGAAAACAGGTTCGAAGGCCAACATGACAAGTAACTTAATCAGGACAAGCTTCAATAGGATGGCTCCGCGCCGTTCCTACCCCCAAATGCTGTGCGGGGCTACTCGACGATGGCATCTCTGGCTCAAAACTCTGCTTTCCTCATCAGCTCCAACAAGAATTTGCGGGGCCAAATTTTGAACATGAAAACACGTTCTGGAAATCCAGCAGTAATATGGCAAGGGTGGAAATCCACATTCCGTGCATTAGCATTAGAGGGATAGAAGATGCAGCAGGAGACGAGAGAGAAATGGAAAGCATGGGGCAGCGACGATGGATCGTGCGGTCTAGTCCCTGAGTTCCTGCCACACCCTTCCGTGGAAGAAACTGTCCAAGATTTCTACGTTGCCTTCCATGAACAGAACACTCAGAGGCTGGATGAACTGCTCGCGTCTCAATGTGCCTACCTTGATTTGGTATTTTACGGTCCTCATGAAGGCAAAGAGGTTTTTCTGTATTCTCTTAATTCACCATATTCAACTTCTCTTCCCCTCTTCGCGTGAATCCTACGCTATAACAATATCAATGCTTTTTTTCTGCACACAGAATGTCATCAATTTTTTGCAGGCAGCCAGGGAAGCCATGGGTAAAAATATTCACATTGTTATCGAAGACATCAAGAGCGAACACCTTACGGCCACCGCGCGAATGCACCTAAGTAAGCTTCATTTCACGTTACGCTCCTTTTCATTTCCCAATTTTCTCTGTTTTTCCCTGCCAACATCAAGTCCTTGAATAGGAGATCGGGATTTTGGATGTAGAAATGTTTAGCGACACTAATTCAATCGTGTTATAGATGATGTGTAATATTATAGTGGGAGTGGCTAATTGTTCAAGAGGATGGACGTCGCAGGTTGGAAAGAATATAAGATGCCCTTCACCAATGGATACAGATACTTTACGTTTGAAAAATATCAAGGGAGACTGCTTATTAGGTATGAGTGTGGCATTTTATTGATGTTGAAACAAAGAAATCGTACATGATATATACATATAGCACATAAACTCATGGGGATCCGGAGTGTTCATAATTAAGCGTGTTTATTATTCAGCAAGATAACGGGCGTCAAGGAACTTCCCGTAAGACCTAGTGAAGTGGCCCTGGTATTTCACTTGTTCTTCTTCTAGAGTGTGTGCTGTGTTGTGTTTTGAGTAACAAAAAATCAATTGAAATATCACTTCCACGCATGCTTTGTTGTATTTTGCAGAGACTCTTGAAAGCAATTGGGGCGCTTTTTGATCGCTATCCACTAGCAGCCGAGAGTATGTGTCGTTGGATACCCCCCCTCTCCCTTTTTTTTTTTTTTTTGAATTCTCCCTTATATATGATTAATTAACTTTCAATTAGCGTGGATCGATAATTATGTTTGAGATGGATGTGTGCGTTTTGATCTGTACCAGTGATGCTCAAGGCTTATGGTGCCGAAGAAGGGAAACATGCAGACATGCATTTCGATCTCTTCGGACGCGGACGCTGATTTGTGTGTGTGTGTGTGTGTTTGTGTTGGGGGATCCTTCTTGTGGGGCGTGGGTGCCTCAATCTGTTATATATGTACATATTAATGAGAGCACGAAATGACGCTGAAGATGGAGTGATTCGGGCCGTCATATTTATTTATGAATTTATGGAAGAGTTCACAATTTATGAATAATGACCCTTTTTATATAATATATATTCATGAATATTCGCCTATGCACGGTTTAATTAGTGAGAGCCGTTACGTACGACGTGAGACATCTTTAGTAGTCTCTGCTCTCTGGTCTTCACTACTACAATTGCACCAAACACTCAATTATAAAATTACTTGAAAATTCGCTGTATAATTAATGAACATCTTTAACATCATGGGCCAGTAGAGTAGAATGTACTCCCACTTCTTTCCCATAAATAAATGAAGAATATACTCCCCCTATTTTTATATATTAAAAAAATTGTATCACGCATTTTAAAAATAATAATTAATCATAATGATTTAGTTTAAAAATAGAAAAATGAGCTAAAATGCTTTATGTTAATTAACAAAAGGATACATTAATTATTTTTTGTTATGTAAATTATGAGAGGTGATTTAAAAATTATGTAATAAATGCTTATTAAAATAAATGATTTTACTTATATAAAAAAAATAACTCAAAATTTTAAAAAAGTTAATCAATAAGTGGCAATTAAAAACGTCCAGAAATTAAGGAGACAGTGAAATTTCAACCGTGGCTTGTTAATTAATTAAATTGAATGCAGAACTATAGAATTAATTGGGAATCGGTCGTCGTGGTGGAAGGGCATCACCCCGGATATCAACATCGAGTACTCCAGCTCCTGCGGAAATGCCATCAAAGGGCTGGGAGTGGGAGGTTGCCAAGAGAACGAAGAGGACATCGTAACATCAGACTAGAAAACAACTTGGTCCGCTTCATCCGCACCAAACAAGCCCTCCAACTCATGCTCTGAAAAATTATGAACCGCTTCCTGAAGAGGAAGCCCCTCTATCAGATCGCGATCACGATATGTGACCGGATCAGACGGCGGTCGAGTCTTGTCGTTCTGGGCTTCAACTACTTGCTGCGACGGCCCGTTCACGGGCTGGTGATGGAATTCTCAGGGGGAGGTGGTGTCATGGTTAAAAATCTTGGCGAACAAGAGGGCCATGTCAATATGGGAAGCTCTGGATTCAGGTCCTGAGAACAAGAAATGACGCTGAAGGAAAGGCGTGCAGGACAAGGGGAATGGAGAGAGGGTTTGGTAGGGTGGGACTTACGGGAAGCGTCGCCGACGGAGACATTGAGGAGAGAGCCGCCTCTAGTCCAGTAGCGGCGGTAGGGTTTACAGAAGTACCTGGGCTGGGAGACGCTGTAGTTGTTGAAGTAACAGAACTTGGTGTTGGAGGAGGCACGACGAGGGCAAAAGGGAGCTACATCAATGTTGGGTTTGAACCTCCCCGAGGAGTACTGCATTATTGCCATTGCAGGGAATAGCAGAGCATGTGCGAAGAAGGCACAAATGTAGGGGGCACATATATATGGGTTGAGAGTTGGGGGGAAGCCCTTCGAGCCATTCTGAAATCTGATTCTCGAGTCAAATAGCCCTTCCCTTTGTGACTTTTTATTTATTTATTTTTAATTCCCTAATTAGTCATGTGGACGAGGGCTATGGATTTGATAACCATGCATGCATGGGAATTGCCTTTGGTCTCCGTGGTTCAATTTGTTTAGCTACAGTTTCTCTTATAATATGAAAAAAATAAAAAAAATCATGTATAAGAAGTCAAATATATAAATCTCATCAAGCGTTCGCTTTTCTAGTAGCAACTAGAATGGGATATTTGATGTGCTTAATTGGCAAGCGAGGAAGGGTGCACATACATGCGGAGAAGTTTGAACGTACAGCTAGCATCGAGTCGGCATGGGGCACTAATGGAATTTCCTGAGTCCCAAAACTAAGGAATATAATGGCCTACTCTTCCATGACAAGTTATATTTTAAGAAAAATATTATTTTAGATCTTTACACTTTATTCAATTTTTGGTATAAATTTTTGTATATTTTTCATGTGTTTTATATTCTTACACTTTCATCCATTTGTATCATTGGTCTCTATATTTTTAGAAAAATATTGACATGATATAAACAATATTATTAATATTGACATGTTAATTAATACTGTTCATTTTGTACTTACGTGTTTTAACTAATGCTGGTATATAGAATTTTTAATGAGCAATTTTTTTAAAGTTTTATACGAAATTTGCGTGTTTTTCTAATCAATTAAAAGGTCTAAGGTCAATCTTTTTATTTCATCCGATATATGCTTTTTAAAATTTTTACTTATTAAAAATTTCATGTTGGTATCAATTTGACATATAAATAAAAAATTAACATATTAATTGACATGCTAGCATTATTAACATCATTTATGTCAAGTCAAAGTTTTTTTAAAAATATACAGATCAATATTATAAATAAAGTGTAAGGATTTAAAATACCTAAAATAAAATATAAGAATTTATATGATAATTGAAGCAGGTGTAAAAAATAAACTTGTTTCCTATGGTGTATAACAATCACGGTCTCAAACAGATATTAATCGCTCGCTGGCTTCTTCTAAATGTAACGAATAGTTGTGGTGCCTTGTCATGTACAACAGCATTAATTAATATCAAATTCCTGGATGCCTTATAGCTTTATTAAAGTCATAATGTAAATGATAATACTTTTATGATCCTATTTATAGACAAAGTATTTGCTCTAATCCTTGTTTGTATAACACTTCAATAATTATTATATTTAATTTAATTTAATTTTTTTATGCTTGTTAAATGTGTTGAGAAAATGTTATTAAATAAAATATTATTTTATTTTTAAAATATATCTTTTTAATATGGGTAAAGTTAATTAAAAATTTATTGAATTTTTAAATAAAATTAATGAAATTATTTTTTTTTCGTTTCAGCAAAATGAAATAACTTATATACATGATCGGGAGAATATATATCTACGTGCTAGCTAGACTTGCCTAACATCATGTCAAGTTTTCAACTGAAATCATCTAAAATAAGCCTTCATGAGCTTCCCATCAAGCCCAAATCTGTCACTAGAATAAGCCTCCATCTGGGGTAGGGTTTGTAAACCAGTACTGAACTGAGCTGAATTAACTATAAACCTCCCCCAAAAAAATAAAGTGGGTTGGAATTGGAGACGTGAGAAAGGAACCTAACCGATGTGGAAAGAGCACGTGAGTATGCGGGAATGGAGGCACATGACCAGATCACGTGCTCCACTTATTTCGCATGCCTAATCATAATCATATCATGATATGATATCTTCCTTTGCTAATTTGCTCTCCCTCCCCTGCTCACTATTAATTATTACGTAACCTGCTCTCAAATGTCTACGTGCTTCCTATATCATTCACTATCATCAATTTCTCCTTCCTACCAAGTTCAAATGAAATCATTGGTCTACATTTCTTCCATTTTTTAAGGGTAAAACTTTGGATGAGTTGGTATTTATGACGTGCCAAAATCAAAATATACTTTCAAATTTAACAACCGCTGAAAAGAGTATTTACATATTGCTTATTAACAAAATCATCATATCAATAACATATATGCATATTTGAACCGAGAACAACCTTATTGATTATGAATGAAATCCTCACTAATATAAATACATGTTGTTGATGCATTTTTTAATTCATTTTTAATAACATGATTACATTTTTAGGATAAATGGGCAAAAATATTCAAGAAATCATCTACTAGGAATATCTAGTAATATAGAGTGAGAAAATATATATGAGTGCCCATAAAATTATGTTTAATGGTTTGGTCATGTATGCATTAAAAAAATAATTTTATGAGCACTCATGTATTTTTTTTCACTTTAAGTTATCAGACACTTCTTGACAATAATTCTTTGAGTATTTTTGCCTATTTATTTTTTTTTTAAATATATATGATATAATGACATTCACGAATTAAGCCATCATATTCTTTTGGAATTCAAAATTATCTCATATTTGGTGGAGTGAGCAGACAGAAAACCATCACGATGAATGTGATGATTAGAATTAGAGGTGAGCGAAACAGAGTTGAAGCCAAAAATTGAATCGTTCTTTTTTGTTTGTTTGCTTTTTCAATTTGATTTGAATTCTTTTAAAATGTTTTCAATTGATTAGTTCGATTTGGTAGTAATATTTAAATTGACTATACCAAACCAACCAAATTATCATGTGCATATAATTTATTAATTTATAAATTTATAAATTATATTTAATTTATTAATTACTTTATTTTATTTTATTCTTTTTAATTTTATATTTAGAAATATAAATATATAATTTGATGCGTTGAAACCTTAGCCTCTCATTAAAATATGTTACTGTCACTTAACAAGCTCAATTTTATAAATAAACCTTATCTATTTTAACAAGAAAAATTTAACAAAATTGGTTCAAGTCCTAACAACCCAACATAAAATTCAAATGTAATTAATTGATTGAACCAAATTGTCAAATTTTAGCTCTATTCTCATTTGGTTCGATTCAATTCACATTTTTAATATTGTTCAATTAGTTAATTTTACATATTTTAATACCAAACTAGCCAGACCCAACCAACGTTCACCTGTAATTAGGATGACTGATATTTTAATTCTGTTGATTAAAAATATATCTCATTGAATTATTTTCCCTATAATGATCTAAAATCAATTACCCCGAGATCATTTCAAACATTGCTATATCTAATTAAACAATTTTTTTGTATTCACACAAATTTAAGTTTAAAATTCTGTATTTAGTCTGTAATTATATCTCTTTTTTTTTAAATAATACTGTTTCTACTGCCCTATAATTATATAATCCTCTTTAAAAAATATAAAATATTTTTAACTAAATCTTACTCTAACAAAATAGTTACTTGTCTTCAAATTAATTCTATATTTTCATATTTATCCCTATTTAATAGGGCGTTTCACCTAAAAATAAATATGAATGATGTATTCAACAGAAGTACTTTAAAAAAATAATGATTACATCTTAAAAAAATTAAAAATATTTTATATTTTTAAATATTCAATCTTTTAAAAAATATTTTATATTTTTTAACAGAGGCTGTATATATTTATACGCGCCCTGGGAGACACATGAGATAGATAAATACATTATTCATTGATATTGATGATATACAGTATTAAAAATAGTGCAAATTCGCTTTTCAAGTGCTGTTTCAATTTTCCTTTTCGGTTTTTTCTTCTTTTATTTTTTATTTTCCCTTTTATATTTTTTGAATATAAGAAAATACCAGTATTTATTGAACTTCATAAAACAATTTTTATCTGCCCCTTAACATTGCACGGCGATGAATGTATATTTGTAATGGGACGTCATTATTTCTTATTTTTACTAAATATTAGTTTTTATTTTTTATTTTTTACTAAATATTGATTTTACGGAGATGAAGATAACTCAGGGGTAACAGTGATATGGGCTTTGACTCGGCCCATCAAGAACTCGAGTCTGGTGGCCATGGCATCGAAGAAACTTAAAATCGTGAATTAAAATACTATTATATTTTTAACTGGTTTCTAAATAGTGTTGTATTTTATATAATTGATTTAGAATAAAATATGAATCAATTAAATATAATTTAATCTACCAGTATGCTAATATACGTGTAATAAAATTCATAACGAGTGACCAAATCCACGAGTAATTATAGAATGGGGGAGCGCAGCAAATGTGTGTTTGGTAGTGGAAAATGTCTTGAGGTTGCAAATGAAAGAAATGGATGCTAAAGTCACTTCGTCGCATCGCTGCGCCGAGTCAAGGCTTTCTGGGTCAGTGCAAGAGGGACTAGGTCATATTCCATCGAGTACGTAGCTCCAAGAAACAGTTGACTCGTGTGCTCGTATGGAATATAATTAATAAACCGGATCCAGAGAGTTAGAAGGTGCTCCGACCTTTCACCCCCTCATGCACAAGACACAGTCATTTTATGTTTGTGTGGAAGCTTGTCCGATGGTATCTTTCATTACAGTTAAATATTTAAAACAAAAAACAAAGTCAACTAATTAAGTACTCTCTTATATTGGAATTAATCAGTGTGTGTGTGTGTGTGGCAGCGCGTGAGTTACTTCAGTTGATTGACACTTTCAAGGGGAGGTAGCTAGTTACTCAAGACTGGCAAAGAAGGTTGTCAAGGGGCTTGAAATAACCAAAATTTGTCCATTTGTCACGTTGTCATGCTGCGAACGATTGCTGACGGCACCATATGCCCTGACCATTACTAATAACCATACATACCACTGTTGCAGCCATATTCATTTTTATATATGAATGTGTCCTGATTAAAACAGGCCTCTGCAGAGAAAGAGTTTTGGATCGAGTTTGTGAATTCGTATGTACATTATATAGTTTCGTTGCGGGGGATCTATACTAAAGAGATTCCGCACGATCAGTTAAACGATAGTGAAGATGTATTTGAGAGAATAATTAGAGCACATTATATCATTCTATTTCTATACATGTGGCGCAAGCTGACAATTATAACAGTTGTTAGCTCATTAACATGTTATGAGTCTGGGCACAATTGACAACACACACTCTTTTTTTTGGGGGGGGGGGGTTCGCTGGAAATATACAATAATTTGTCACTGTTGGGATTGCAAGACTAGTAGAGATAATTTAGACGCCGTCAATTGCGACTGGGCAAAAGGGTATGCAAAAAATAGTGCTTAGAAGTTAGAAGTTGGAAGTGATGCGAGATGTCATTTAATTTCAGACAAGGACGCGATATCTAACAAATCCATGCATATGACATGTGCAGGCGGTGCCGGTTGCTATTTTCCTCTTCGACAAAATCGGCCATTAATTCTTTTCCTCCATCGCTCTTGTAGTGGCCAATGAACCCTATGTGCTATCTCCATGCGGACTGCGTAATGTTGTGTGTACAGCGTGTTATCCCATTAGTTCCCCTTAACCAATTTATACCCACGCGACTCCAATGAACCTACTGCTTAATATTCAGCCAGGAAAAGGCCTTATATTGAAAGTATAATCTCTTTATACCATTCCAAAACTATTCTCAGATTAATTAATGTTTTGACATATGTATCAAGAATTCTTTAGTAAATGCGAGATATTGCCAAACATGCACGCCATCGTTTGATTTTCTCAATAGAGAGGGTCAAAGAGAGAAACAAGATTAACGAGGAAAAAGTGGCGAGTGAAAAGCATAAGTAAAGACTTGTGTACTTAATAACCTTATATATATACTTAATATATTTTTATGTAATTAAACTAAGATATGTAGATTTTAATTTGTTAATAATATAATATTAATAATAAGAATTTGTTATAGAAAATAAATGATCTATAAAATATTCACGTATTTTAATTTAATTAAAAATAAGTATTTTAAGTATATATATAATATACACGTGTGTATGTGTCTTCAGTCTTTACTTATGTATAGCTAGTTAAATCAAATATGAAATAGTTAACTAAGTCTAGGATTTTTAAAATAATAATAAAATTAATATAATATAGTCGAACAAATTTGGAATGAAGAGAGTGCTACGTAATCTCCTATATATATTTCTTTAGTTTTACTTATAAGGCGAAAAGAGAAAAAAAAATTGGTTCTATTTATAGAGCTCTCCTTTTTACATTTTTATCCCTATCAAATGTTTTAAATAAAAATATCAATAATAAAATTTAAGAATATTTATTATGAATAAAAGTAAAAGCTTGTTAAATTTTAAGAAAAATTAATGAAATTTAATGCTTTTCTTGATTTTAATAAAATACATTAAAAATGATTTATAAATAAAATTAAAGGGAGTAAGTAGAAGCTGGCTGGGGTCTCAGGGGATTCACCCATCCGTTATTTCCACTTAATGGACAATTAATACCGGTCTTTTGCTTAGCTGTCATTCCCCAATAATTTCTGTCCTTATGCATAAAATATTTTTAAAAAATTTATTTTATCTCTAAATATAAAAAATGTCATGAAATTTTTAAATAATTGAATAATTTCACCTTTATCTTAAAAAATAAAGAAGATATTAATTATATACTTGACACACTGCCACCATAATATGAATTGTGACATTATTAATTAAAGATAAAATTAAAAAATCATTACAATTTTATGTAATTATAATTAAATAATAAATTTTTATTAGTATACAAAATTTAATTAAAAATGTTTTATAAATGACAGCGGAGAAAGTAGCTATTTTGGCTCGGTTGCAAGAACACGAATCCAGGACATATACCCGAAACTTGAGAAAAAACGTGCCACCAAAACAATTAGTGTAGTTTCAGGAAGGTTCCGGCGTTAATTTCAAATCGCTGCTTTGTCTTTATTTACTGCGCCGCATCGCATGAGCGTCATTCACAGATCCTAGCGACATTCTTACATATCTCTTCTGATCATATAATATATATATGTATGCAAGAAAAATGCAGCAGTTTTTCCCCCCATCACCCCTCCCTAACTGTACCAAGATGTAATTTTCAGATATGCTTTATTAATGATCACTAGCTTGTTAAAAACTGTGAAATTAATTCTGTCTTATAATTAAAATCGAAGAGAGTATGCTCGGTGTCAACTGTTAATTAAGTTTCCATTATATCTCATTTTATCCATGACCATGTATTCCAAGTTCCAACTTCACAAAACGTGCTTCCAATCTCCCTCCTGCGCCGTTCCTTCTGCATGCCCTTCTGACATGGCACTGCTGGACCCTTTCCAACACCCACACCCACCTTGACAGAAGGAAAACTCAAAAAAATAAAAAGGGAATAGACACGTTCAGACCACCATAACATCACGAAACCGGACTCCGTATAATAAAATCCCTGTAAAATATTACCTTTACAAGAAGCCAAATTTTACTATCAAACGTATTGGATATTAATTTAATCTCCCTTCATTGTTGACCAGCTCTCTTCCTAGGATTTATATTATGCTCCTATATGTATATATTCCTGATCGCCTTGGAATTAAAATAATTACACTGAATTTCATCGGCTTCTCCATCGATCCTCCTCCTCCTTCTCTGCCCCTCGTATCTATCTTATACTCTAATTACAATTACAATTCAATCATATTCACAGCTGCAAAGCAGGATGGACTTCCCGGACATTCCGACAGGGAAATCACCGAGAAGAGAACTTCAAGGCCCTCGTCCCGCGCCTCTGAGGATACACAAAGATTCCCACAAGATCAAGAAACCGCCGCTGGCGCCACAACCGTCGCAACCGCGGCCTCCCCCGCGCCAGCCGATCATCATCTACGCTGTCTCCCCCAAGGTCATCCACACCACGCCGGGTGACTTCATGAGTCTCGTTCAACGCCTCACTGGCTCTTCTTCTTCGGCTTCTTCCTCCAACGCGAGGTCAAACGATCCTTTCACTGGTAATAATGGCGATAAGGTATCACCGGCAGCGCGATTCGCCGCTATAGAGAGGGCCAGGTCTCCCCAGCTGAAGAAAGGACCGGTGCAGCATCATGGTGGCCATGCTGGTGGTGACGTGGAAGGGATCCCGGAGGCGGGCGATGCGATTGAGCGGCCCAGCAGTACGTTTCCTGGGATTTTGTCGCCGGGACCGGCTGCGCTGTCTCCGATTCCTGCGAGCTTCTTCTCGCCGCCGTCAACGGCAGATCAAGCTGTGGGCAGCTTCCTTCATGACTTGAGCCCGGCCATTCACCGGAGCTTTATGGAGGGTAGCTTCGTGCCTAGCCCTTCCTACTTTATTTCGCCTCGTACTCCTTCTATCGACTTATTCAACAATTTCTTTGATTCGTAAGTTACTTAGATTTTATCGTTAAGTTTTGAGAGTATTGTTTGATGAGGGGGAGTGCTGGGTTTCAGATGGGGGAGGGACTGCAGAAGGATTAATAAAAATAAAGAAAATTGTTATTCTTTTAGTTGAGAATTTCTTAATGGATTGATTATTCTTTCAATTTTATTAACTTCATTTTCCTTTAATTTAATTCGCGGGCCATCCGTTTACGCGAAATATCTCATCGTGTCCATTTAATCCAACTGCTGACGCTCCGGTGCATTTTACCCGGTATTCCCGTCGTCTTTAAGTCCCTTTGCATCAAATCAAACTTGCTGATATCCGTATCTCAATGTGCATCACATCAGTATGAAGTATGCATGACGTCATCAATGAAGGTTGTATGGAAAATAAAATGTCCCAATGAATATTCCATTCACGGAGCAACCCTAGATGATTGAACAACCCACCACGCTGACATACAACTCCTTTTTTTCTATTGGGGAGCATAATTAATTATGTCAACGCTTCAGATTAAAACTCCAAATAGGGCGCGGTATTGTTTCGTTGATATACTTATTCTCATTCCCCGGCCAATATGGTGGGACAAAACTAGCAGGGCAGGTTAGAGATTGGATCGGCTATGGATTTCTATTTTTATACTGGTTTCACTAGCTATTGGTTGATGAAAGGGACTAATATTAAATGATAAATAATAATTTTATATATTTTTATTTTTTAATTTAGACTTTTAAATATTTATTTGAGACTAATTCAGTTTAATTAAATATTATTTAATTTTATTAGCCAATATTCAGCTTTAAAATGTTAACTATCTAAATTTATAATTTTAAAATATAAATAATATCTTTAATATTTGTGCATATGTGCTATTTAATTTTATTTTATTTGTGCAGATTTTTTAGATTCAATTTAAAAGATATTGACAAAGATTATTTTAGATAAAAAGAATATGGATATGCTTGGAGATCAAATGAAAAATTAAATTTTTAAAATTTTATTTAAATATATTTTAAATTATTTAGTGTAGTTTTTAATTAAGGTTGTTGAGAATAGTTTTATCATGTTTTTCTTTCACCGTACGAAAATGTGTGCAACATTGTTTATGTATATAAAGAAAGCCGCGCCACTCGGGAGACAAAAAATATATAAAAACCACGACTTGGACGGAGGAGAGAAAAGAGGGTAACCGCGATTACAGTTCATCTTTTTCTTCAATTCCTCTAGCGATGGCCTCTCCTATTCTTATCTCATATTGTTTAATTTTTAATTTTATGAATAGCTTTTTTTTATGTGATCAATTACAAACTATGATCCTAAATTTTAATCAGAGTCTTTGATATTCGGAAAGATTTTATTTTAGCTTTATTTTAATTTTTTCTTCTTCTCTCTACCTCTAAATTTTATGTTTTAACTGCTATTACTGATTGGAATAGCTTTATTGTATAATTTTTGAGTTATAAATTTTATCTGAGATTTTACTTGCTATAATCGATTGATATAATAACTTAAGCGTAATTTAACTTGGCTTTAGTGATTACTCCTGCTTTATTTTTTGTGCAGCTAACATAAAACAGTTGTTAGATTGTGGGTTAAGGGAGATTTTAATTAATCTATAACCTAATTTCTTGTTTAATTCTTAAATAATAATTTAAGAAATATATACTAAAACTAGAATAATAAAATTAAATAAAATTAATTTAATTTGTAGATGAGGAAGATTAAGATAGGTGATTTGATCGTGATTGATTGCGCTGCTTGTGCTTGGTAATTTTTATAGTTGAATTTTCTCTATTTATTTATTTTTAATTTAGTTTTAAATTTCATCACACAAAAATCCCTCACTTTTTAGCTTTTCATAATCATAATTCAAATAGTTACTATATTGACTCTTAAAGAGACAACCTAGGTTGTATTTTACTGTAAAATTTAGTCTTTATTAATTTTGATACTATTCGACAGTAGTGTCATTAAACAAGGTGAAGATTTAATCCTTGTAAATATTAAAAAATCACTCCTTGGTCTGGCCAACCAACAGTACTTATAAAGTTAAGAATATGAGTTGGGGTTATATGAATTGACTTGAATAAGCGATCATAAAAGTTAAGTCTAGTTGAAAAAGTTGGCTTAAATAAAAATGAGTTTCCCAGACTAGACAAGATTACCCTTAATTATATGGCTTAATCCTGATAGGTCAAAGCTGATTCATTTAACTCATGTTATCTTTTTAAAAATAAAAATAAAAAAGGGTTGAACCATGTGACTTTTAATAAATTGATGGGTATAGCTTGACTTGGTTAGCTAAATTCATATATTTTGTACAAATATTGTGGTTTAATACTTCAGTGCATCTAAAATGAATCATAAATGAGTATCACATTGGCACTTATCATCATTTATGTGTTTTTTTTTTAAATTGAGAACAAATAAATAGGTTGACAGGTTCTCACACTACAACATTTTTGTTATCCTGAAACAATTCAAAAGTGTTCCTATAAATTTGAAAAATGTTGCCTGAAAGTATAGGCAACAATGTTCGAATGTTCTCAACTTGAGTATTGCTTATTACTTTAGGCAATGGTTTTCTCATTTTTGATCACATCATTTAAAAAACTATTGCCTAAAACTATAAAAATAGATGACAGTTTTTGAAAGACATATTGCAACAGTTTTAAAATGTTGCTTCTTATATAAAATAGGTAATATTTTAAAATTGTTGCAAAATAGTTAAAAAGTCAAACATTAATATTTTCTTCGCTGCCTAAGATTCAAATCCTAAATCTCTTGAGAGGAAGGAGTAACCTTAACTACTCTTCTAAGCTGACTTATTGATATTATAATACAAAATTATATATATATAATTGTTAAATTAATTTTTTTAATTTATCCAAATAATAAATTAAAAAATTAAGAGAATAAATAAATAAAAGTATATATATATATATTATACAAGTAAATCAAAAATAAATTTTTGTGTATTGAAAAATAACAAACAATAGTTTTTAAATGTTATTAGAAAGAAGATCTATGGGCAACATTTATATTTTTGTTACCTACTAAAACAGGGAACATTTTTGAAATGTTACTATTAAAGACCTTTTATATGTTACCCATTCAAAAATGTTATTTCAACACTTAAAAACAATTGCCCATTTTATTTTAAGAAACATTTTTCAAATGCTGCCAAAAATGTGTTACTTAAAGCAAGGAATCAATAACAACATACAAAAACTATTGCTTATGACCATATTAAGCAACACTTTTAGAATTGTTTCAAATAAAAATGTTGCCTAAAGCAAAAAATACCGTAGTGCCATTAACTTGTCAACCTTCAAGTATTGGGTTAAGTAGTGATTTTTTCAACTCATAAGATAATCTTAACCTATATTTTTTTCCAACTCATGTGATTCATGTTGACCATATTTTTAGCTTTAAGTACTCAAATCTAAATGTGTATTTGATTTTTAATTTGTCAAAAGTTCATTAGTTGAAAGTCTATTTGTTAGAAATCAATTTGACAAAAGTTAGTCATTATAATGAAATTTGTGTTTGGATAATTTTTTAAAAAATCAATTTAATAGATTAAAAGTTATTTAAATTATGACAATGATTGAGTAAAAATAGAAGAATGAGAATTAGTTGATGGTAAGAGCATGCAAAATACTTTCAAAAAACTATCCAAAGTTAAGTCTTGAGAATTGGCTTTTAGAGTTTTTTGAATGTTCTTTTCAAATGGAGTTAAAAACAATTTAAGGAAATCAAATAACTTTTACATTTCTAAATTTTCAAAATTTTTTTAAATGTAAAATGTATGTAAACCAAATCAACCCTAAATCAATTAAAAAAATCGAATATCATTGTCACGTGATGTGTTTAAAAAATGTGAACCTGTAAATAAATATTTTATTGTTGTTAACTTATTATATGAGGGAATATTCTCAAACTTTGCATATATGAAAACTTATCAGTTATCACTTTCTTCATACAATTAATAGAGCGCATTCCGAAACCTGCATATCCTTTTCGTCTTGGATAATTCAGGCACATTCATTCACAACTTAAGTAATAAACCCAAAAAAAACTGTTCATGATACAGACAATCGTAGCATATGCATATGATTAATTAATTGGTTAGTTTAAAAGAGCTGTAAAATCAATAAAATTATTAATGTAGAGTTTAGATTGATGAATTTAAATTTAAATTTTATATTTAAAATATCATATTTAAAACTCATTGTCCATCACAAATTGTCCGTTGTGTTTGAGCAATAAAAGTATCATTTAAAGCCTTAGGAAAGGGATTTATTATTTTATAAAATTATATATATTATTGTTAAAAGCTGAACTTTAACTTGTTGATTAAAGTTCAATTTTTAATAACAATATATACATATTTTTATAGAATAATATCTAATATAAAATTAATAGGCCTCCTTGTTTGAAAAGTTTTTTTGGGAGAGCCTTAAATTTAATTCTTCCTAAAAAACTTTAGGAAAATATCATCTAGCTAGTAAGGGTGAAAATATATCAGGTTCTTAATAGAGGCCTACAGTCTGACTTACTTCAAGACTAGCCTAGCCTACTTATTAAACAGGCTTAAATTAGGTTCAAGCCTTTAATTAAGTCTATTTAATTAAATAAGCTGGGTCTATTTTTTTAAAGCCTAACTTACGAGTCCAACAAGCCGGCCTATATATATATTATGTACTATATCACAAACATATTAGTTTTACCATATAATTTTTAATCAATTTATTCTTTACTACTTTTAGTTATATTTTCAATCATATTTGACTTATATATTAATTTTAATATTGTCACTTTGTTATTATATTATATTGTAGTTAGTAAGTCCTTTCAATTCTTATATATTGTACTTAATAAATTAGATTATATATTGTATATTATAATAGTCTTAAAGTATATTCGAGACGTTTAAAACTAAAATGTGACCTTATTTAAAAGGCTTTACTTTTAAGTAGGCTCAAAAATAGACTTGTAAATTAAGTCAGGCTTTAAATAGGCTCAATTCTGAGTCATAAAAAAACTCTTATATAAGTTTTAAATTAAACTCAAACTTTTAATTTACCATATATATATATATATATATATATAAGTTCAACCTTATTTAATTAAAACCTAACTCCATCCACCATATTT